GTACAATTCTCAACATGGAAACAATAACCCGATTAAAACTAAAACCTGCGAAGCAATTGTCTATAATAGAGGTAAGCAGAAATAGGCTCTGGAACATCTGTAAATAAGCACGAGTTTTACTTTCTTACACAGTAATACAGCCAAGTATCAGCTTTTTCCATTTCTAAAGTTTTTAGCACCTTTGGGTAACATAACTAGAAAAACGCGGAAAGCTTCAAGTCTTTAGTGAAATCCATACTGAAGGACCCCAAAGGAGCAGCACCAAGCAGCCGCCATTCTATACCTAAGCACCATTTAAAACAACTATTCTAGACAAAGGATATGTAAGATCTGTCTTCAAAACCAGAATAAAACTACTCTTCTTCCACTTTCCACGTGATTTCCAATGGTTCCGTTGTAAAACTGATACTTCAGCTGAGGAGTAGGGAGATTCTGAAGGCAGAGCAGGTGGAGTCATTTGTTTTTCAAGTCTGAAGGTTACTATACTAAACAAGTAACATTCTGAAGTATTTAGATAAAGGATTTATCCACAGGTTACTGAAGAACCCTGAAAAATCAGCCTGAAAATCATTTAAAATGTACTTCTCTGCCACATACAAAAATACCTGTCCCGATGAAAAGATGAGGTAACACACCTGATTTCAAACACACTAATGAAAGCGGTCGTAGAGTCGTATCTCACTGCACGGACAGTGTGGTTACAGGAACCTCACTCGGTCTACAGAGTGGAGAAAACCACCAATCTGCAGAACTCCGTTCTTTGCAGAACTTAGCGGACACTAAATAATTGAGTAAGCCCTATGATTTCGATCATCTTCAAGGTCCCTTCCAACCTAAACCATTCTATGATTCTACGATTTTCGAGATGCTGCTGAGGCCACTCAACCATCCAAACTCGGTCCTTAGGGAAGTCGGTCTTCCAGTTTGCTTTCAAATGGGGCAGCTGGTATGAGAAGTGGATTTTTCAGGAATGCTTCTTTCTGTCTTTGACAGTCTCGGTCGAGAAAAGAAGCTGAGTATCTGCAAATAGGCAGTAACTCCAAAAGTGCTGCAAGACAGATAAAATCTGACCAGTTTCAGGAGAAACTTGCGGTGATTTAGAAACACGGACAGCCCTGCAGAGTTCAAATAGAAGAAGGTCTATCAGCTCAATGGAGAAATACTTAGAGACAGCGAGGTGGCCACAACAGAAATAGCCAAGGACTTACTAATATTAAGATAAAAAGATGCAGTTTTAGAATGTAAATCTCAACATAAATATTAGTGTAGACACTATAACTGTATTACAGCACGTAACATACATTGGGTCACAGAGCCACTCAACCTTTTAAAACAGGAACTGTGCTGCCTAGGAAGGGTTTTAACACCCTTTCCAAATACCTCCGTCCCTAGTGATGTCACCTAGAGAAAGGATTAGAAACATTCAATGGACAAAGTCTCCATTTCTTTATCGCTCACTCCATTTTCCAGTTCTAGTATGTCTTTCATAAATCGTAATGGGTTTGCTTTCATAAATCGTAATGGGGAGGGACTTTTTACAGGGGCACGTAGTGATAGGACGAGGGGGAATGGCTTCAAACTGGAAGAGGGGAGATTTAGATGAGGTATTAGGAAGAAACTTTTCCCTGTGCGGGTGGTGATCCCCTGGGGCAGGTTGCCCCGAGAAGCTGTGACTGCCCCATCCCTGGAGGTGTTCAAGGCCAGGTTGGACGGGGCTTGGAGCAACCTGGGCTGGTGGGAGGTGTCCCTGCCCATGGCAGGGGGGTTGGAACTGGATGATCTTCAAGGTCCCTTCCAACTCAAACCATTCTATGATTCAGAGTTCTTCATTCTGTAGGCAGCAATTTTCTCCCCAACTGACTGCTTTTCTGTTTCTAACATGAATTTCAGGTGCAATTTTCTTGCCTGGACAACCAAAATTGTCAAGATCTTATTACACCTCTTGGTCACAAGGTTTACATTTGCTTACACCGAATGCTTCTTCACCTTCAAATCATCACCCGTCTCTTCAGTTCTTTCTCCATTTTGTTTCTGTTAAATCATTATGCTAAACAAAAGAATTGTTTTCTCAGTGCGTTTACCAGCACGGTTCCCACACGCATTTCAGAAGGAGACAGGTAAGGGAGCAACCAGGACCTTGCCAGCAAATCTCCTTCCCTTATAAACCCCAAGTAATTACTTTAATCCCACATATTCTGTATCTCTTCATCAGTTATTAATCTCTGAGAAAACCCTCACCACCCTACCTGTAACGTTGGTCTTTTACGTAAGCAGAGACTGAGTGGGAAGTTTGTTGAGAGCTCCCGGGGAATTCAAGACATTAAATCAGATGAATCACCCTTATCCCCAGGCTTACCGACTCCTTCAAGATCTCTTTTTGCAGGACGTTTTCCCTCTTAAAAAAATCACGTTGATCATTCCCACCGTATCGCATCTATCTGCGCGCGAACTGATTCCGTTCATCACCGCACTGGTTTTATCAGCCTGCCTGCTAGGGAAGTCGGATTTCTTCACCGGTAATTCACAGGGCCCCTCCTGGAGCCCTTTTCAAAGGACACACTCGGCGCTTTCGGTTGGCACCGAGGCTGGTTTTAGCACCAGGTTACACATTGTTGTTTATATTTAAGCAGTTTCACGTTTGAATCTGCTTTAGAGCTCTTGGATGACTGCAGCTGGAGCCCAGTGGTACATCACACTTGATTTTCCTGAGGATTTCCCCCCCCGCTTCTAAAATGCGTTCAGGAGCCATTTCAATTTGAGACCTCACCATTGATTTATCCTCTCCCTTGCTCCAAAGAACGACCCTGCTGCAAGGACACGTGGGTGAGCTCCCACGTATTTTTTGCTCACAAACAACAGTGCAAAATCCCCAAATTTACAGTTCTTCATTAAGAATACAGTTGTTTACCAGACGAGGAGATTCAACTGCTATAAATATTGGAGAGATACAGAAAAAGAACCCTGAGTTCCAGAGTAATTTGGCTCCATGAAAGTACTTGCAACTTAGGTTTTCAGTAAACCACTATTATTTATATAGCAGAACAGGTTGCACAGAGAGATTTCCATATCAAAAAAAGGTTCACTTTGAAAAAAGCTTCAAAACAAGTTCTACAAAAGAAAGGACTGGATAAGAGGGAGCCAAGTAGCTGGGGAGAGAAACCACCATAGATCAGGAGCGGCTTTAACAACTGGACCCCGTGCACGTAGAACATCTATAGACAACGGCACACGTCCAGAGGAACGGCACCAGTATGACTTTGGTTTCCACGACTGTATTTTTCAGTCTTTAAAAAAAAAGATTCAACATTTTTTAGTTTTGGTGTTTTATTGCAACTTATTAAAAAAAAAGTATTTCTGGGGTACCCGCCAGTTTTTACCATCACAGTACAGAAAGCCCGCACCATCCAAAAGGCATAAATATTTACGGAAACTCAAAGCGATGAAGATCCTGCCTGGCTCACCACGTGCTGAGTTTGTACCACACACAAAATGTAGCCAGACACAGCGGGAACAAGAACCCCTTTGCAGCCATAACCCACCACAGCCAGCCATAATCTTACCTGGGCTGTCTACTCATTTTTTCATTCTTTCAAATGACTGTTCTGTTTGTTTTATTGTGAATATATTGAATTCCCTTCTGGCATTACTTCCAACTAACAGTATTAACTGCTGACAGCCAACCATGCACATAAGTATGGAATTATCCTGTGTAAGCATCAATTAATAATTTTATCTCCACCATTATAAGGAAATATTTATAACCGCTTCCACGTACTAAACATTTAGTCAGCACAAATATTCAGGTTTTACTAAGAGGAAAGCACAACAGACACACAGAGCAAAGCCAGGGCTGCTGTCTCAAAGACTATCAGCTCTGCATTGCCTCTGAGATACCCCGATCTGATTTCCCCTTCCAGGAAGGCAGATAGGACGCACGGCAATGAATTTATAACACAGGCTGTGATTTACTCAGAGGCACACACATATTGCCGGTGGAGTGGTTAACTTAGTCAAGATATAACGGAATTACATACAAGACTCCCTCAGAGGCCTCGTTTGGCACTCTCATTTCTCTCATTTTCTGCTTCGGTTACCTGCTTTTCGGATCAATATTTTTTTCCCCCTCCAGTATGCAATAGCATGATGATTAACAGTGATTTGTTATCATAGAGGGATAGTTCTTCAATAAAGCAATTTTAAATGCAAATTGCAAACTTCTAAGTTGCCATGCCTGATTGCATCACCTGGAAATAGTTTGTAGATAGCAAATTTAAATAAACTTTGAAAACACCAATACATAAAATGCACCTACATAGAAAGCGTGAATTAGCTTTAAATAGCTCATTTTACAGATTTTACAATTTATCCGTAACTAAGTTACAAGAATAGTGTACGTTTAAGTAATTCTAGGACAATATTAAAAAAAACCCAAACTGTGAGCAATTCTATTTGAACTTTTAAAGTATGTCATTTCCTATGAGTTCAAGTATCTCCTCTTGGCTCGGCTGGGCAAGCTGCCACGCGCGAGTACAGCACGGCTGATCTGCTGTTCTCTAAAATTCATGGTTTGAAACCAAGATATTTAATGATTATATTTTCATCAATAATACAATAAAGAAATGTTCCGATCAGACAATTGGATTAAAGAAAAAAAGGATTATGGGATATGCCACTGAAGAACTGAAATATCTCAGCTAGTTAAGGTCAGCTCCAACAGGCAAACGCAGGTCCTAGTTTTACAAACTTGATTCCTTTATCCAAATTTTTCAGAAAACAAGTAAATTATAAATAAAAGTGACTGCTTTGCTTTGGGGCTTGATAATTGGTACCACGGATCCTGCACGCTATCGCAGGATCTGTCTATTGAATTCTCATTTATTGCAGCATATTGGAAAAGCCAACATTGCTGTCGCAAAACCATGCGAGATTTTGTACTTCGCTCGTTTGGCATTCCAGATTTTCACACTTCCCAAGTCCCATAGGGAAATTAGCTTCCTTACCTTCATAATGTTTACTAAGTCTGTTTGATAATAGCGATCTTGGTGTGCATTAGCAGCTGCTAAAGTGAGAAGATAATCATTCCTTGCGTGGATAGCCTTGGAGTTACACTCGGATCGTCGTGCTTTTAACTGCAACAAGAAACAGAAGTTAAAAGATGGACACTAATGAGAAGCTAAACGACCAAACATGTATTAATAGTAAATTAACATGCATATCTATGCATCAATATAGGATTAATAGCTTACAATTTTATTAATGGTAAAGGGATTTCTACCGTATTTTTCTCTCATGCAGTTGTAATTTCACACGTGGTCTTCAAAGAACACTTATAACTCCCACTAGAAAAAGTTTCCTTGTAAATTTGGTCATATGTAATTCCGCACTCTGACTGCTGAAAGTCTGCTCTTCTCTCATCACTTGTTCTAACAATGTCTCTTCCAAAATCTCTAGATTCCAGACAACTCTGGTTATATGCCTCATGAAATGAGCTGCAAAGCATGACTGTAAGAAATGTTAAGGGTTTTTTTATACTCACCTTTACGCTTGCCTTCTGCAAGCTTATTCTTGACTGAAAAAGACTAAGTTTGGACCTGAAACAAAAATTAAAAGAAGAGATTACTGTCTTACACCCTTACTACAAAACTACAGGATAAGCAGGCCACTTCCCTTCTGCAAAATTTTAATTTAAATAATTTTTTATGTCTACATTTTTTTATTTGTATAGTTTTAAATAAAGCTTACGGATCAAGGAAAACATTACAAAGTATGCTGAGGTACACCAACAGCATCTGCCTCACATGTCCTGAAATCTTTTGCACAGCTTACCCTGATTTTTGAAAAAAAATTAAATACATCATGAAAGAGAAATTGGGTGGTAGCTGCAACTCGAGTTACTTTGGCATTCGCTGCATTTTGAGTTAGCCCTCCAGACGCAAAGCGCTGTAAATTCGAACAACTGGTCATCTGAAGGAATATTAATCCCAAAACATTAATAATTATGTTCCAGTAAGCTGGAAGAATACTCATGTACACACACATATTTTTAAAAGCAGAATTAGTGTGATTTCTCAGATTTGGATCAATGAGAGAAAAATTAGAGAAGTAATTTATTAGCTGTTGGAAAGACGGTTTAAAAAGTAACTAAGAAAACAAAATCAAGTATATAGCTATTTTAATCTGGGTAATACTGCAGCATGAATCTGGCAGCAAATTCTTAAGCTCAAGTTTTTGGTTGATTTGTTTGTTTGGTTGGTTGTTTTTTTTTCACTTTCTTAGGGTATTATAGGTAACCTTATTAAAGTTCTTTTCATCGTCCAGCCCTCATAAAGTGAAAGACAGAAAAATTCTCTAACAAAACCATAATTTCTTTTCATTCCCTAAGACCAACCCTGAGGAATTTCACAAAACAAACAAATAAAAAAAGAAATAAACTTGCAAAAAAGGGTAAGGCAAACTCCCACAAGACAGGCCAAACTCCAAACCGAAACCATGCGAGCTACTTGCTTGGCCGAAAGGAAGGAAATCGACCTCTTCAGGATGTCAAGGAGCATAAAAACCTTAAAGCCTCAAAAACTTATCTTCAAAAATGGAAAACAGCGTCCCATCCCCTCTCCCCCTCCAAATGGACTGATACCAAATGTGAGATCTGCGGCGAGAAGAGGAAGTAAGCGGCCTTTGATATCCGAAAGAGTGCCAGCTCACACACCGGCCTTTGAAAAGGTCAAATTAAAGCAGTTAGTTGAACTTTCTTCCTAAAGAAACCAGCCTAAACGAGTTATACTTGACTACCGGGGTAAAAGCGTGCTTGAAATGCTTACAAAAATTGCCTATAAGCAACAAGAAAAAAACTTGGCACAGGCTCACTGAAAGCAGCTATCTTTCTTCTCAAATAATATCAAGTGTAAAAACTAATACAAGTACAAATCTGCTTTATACCCAAGCAATTATTTATACACATGCTATTATAAAAACATACTTGGCCTCAATATCAGCTTTCTCCCGCACTGCTTGAGCCATCTGTTCCGTCTCAAAATATTTCTTTTTGCCTTTAGCTAAATCTTTTACCGTCTCTTGTAATTCAGCCTGGATCCTCGTCAACTGGTCCACGCACTGGAAAAAAAACAAAACCATTTGGGAAACAAAGCATTAATGGTTTTTTTTGCATCCAGATAATACTATCGTCATCGTTTTACTACTCTTCATCGCATTTTATACAGAACAACGCGGTCTCCAAGTCACTCCTGGTCAATTATTCATGCCTTTCTTTTACAGCTGATCAGAACATAAAACTGGATTTCTTTCTTTCTTGCTGCTGCTGTTTAACTCTTCAAATTCAATGACAACTTTCAAATTAAACATAGAAGTTCTGAAAGCTTTGCGTGAGGTAATTAGTCGAAATAACTGGAATACAACTGGGAAGAACCCGAAGGCAATCTACCGGAGGTGATACAAAAAATGATTAATCTTTCCTTCTCTAAAATTTAAAACATAAGACAAAAGCTACCATGTAAAACCCACCACCACCACAAGAGATGAGAACAATTTGATAAACGTTATTGTAAGAGCTCATTTTTCTTAAACTATCCCGAGAGCTTTCCAACAAATAGGGTTGTATCAGAAATCGGTGTCATCCACAAAGAAAACTGAGAGGCTTAAAATGCAGAGCGAGCTAGACAAGGAATGAGAATAATTCCATCCGTTTTCATTAATACGACCCAATCGGCGTCATGACATACGTTTTAATGTCAAAAAATAAGAGTCAAAGGAATAGAAGAAAAATTACTGTCCAGGTTTTGGCTGGGAGAGCGTTAATTTTCGGCACAGTAGCTGGTACGGTGCTGTGGTTTGGATTTGTGACCAGTACGGGGTGAGTAACGCGGGGATGTTTTAGCTGTGGGTGAGCAGCGTTTACACAGCATCGGGGTCTTTCATCCTCCTCCCGCTGCCCCACCAGCGAGCGGGCTGGGGGTGCTGGGAGGCCGGGAGGGGACCCAGCGGGGCCAGCTGAGCCCAGCTGACCGAAGGGGTATGTATCCCATACCATACAACGCCGCGCTCAGCAAGAAAAGGGGGGGAAGGAGGAGGAACGAGGGGACATTCGGAGTTACGGTGTGTCCTCCCAAGTCAGCCTTCCGCCTGATGGAGCCCCACTTTCCCGGAGATGGCTGAAACGCTGCCCGCTGACGGGAAGGAGCGAATTAATTCCTTATTTTGCTTTACCTAAAAAACTGTTGTTATCTCAAACCCATGAGTTTTTGTGCTTTTACCCTTCCAATTCTCTCCCCCATCCTACTCGAGGGATGTGAGCGAGCGGCAGCGTGGGGCTGAGCTGCTCGCCGTGGTTAACCCACAATTACTAAAATGTTCAGCAATTCTCCAAACATCCTATCAGCTTCAAAAAAAAACTTTCTGGGAAAGGATCTACGTTAAGCAGAAAGGATCTCCTTAACAAAACAAACGTGAATTATCAATGTCGAGAATTATACTATCTTTAAAAGAGATTTGTAAAGATTTTCTTTTACCCAAACTAGCTGAAGAGTGATAGCGCAATGCGTTTGTATTTAATTACCAATATTACAGACTAGGTGTGCTCAGTGAGGGTTCCAGGCAATACTTAGAGACAGAACCTTGAGCTTAAGGGAACCGATCTGCCTTTCAATTTGCCTTTCTGTCCTTCAAAGACCAGACTCGGAGTCCCCCCCCCTCTTTTCACATCATTATCACATACCCCTCTTCTCCCATTGCCACATTGTCCTCTTACTGAACACCCCTCCTAAAAACCTATGGGTTTTCATTACACTAATTATCAGTGCACGTAACCTCCCTTAAAAGCACTGTAAGACCAGTAAGGCGATGTAATCCAATAACGTAACGTTAATTTCAAAGTATTCCAAAGTCATTAAAAATAATATCCAGTCACCTGCAGAAAAAAGAAACTTTTGTTTCAGTCAATAGAAACTGCTCATCATCTCACCACAGAATTGCTCTAAGAATGTCAAATTTCTTTCTGGCTATAAAGTACATAAAAATTCATGTGAGTTCACACTAAGCCCAGTATTTGATGCGGGCAGGCGAGGAAAGCAATGGGCTCCATAAGGCAAGCTTCGCGGTGGGTGGTTTGGGGAGTGGTGGAGGGCAGGATTGGGTTTTTTTTGAAGACCTCTCAGTGTACGATAGAAAAATGAAAGGTAGAAAAATCTGTATCTATTGGACAGCTGACAGAGCCCTAAAGTCATTTCAAAAGGACTGGGGGTTTTTACTACATCAATCGGTATTTTGATCCCTGAAGTCTCCTGCCAGCATCAAAAAATTAAAATATCAAATAGCCCCAGTTGTTAACACGATCGTTTTAAAAGCATAAAATAATCTTGCTTTTGCATCTCTGAAGAATAAAAAAAAATTATCAGGAGCTTGAATGCCATTTAGGGTTTTTGGGTTGGGCAGGCGCCGGCTGTATGTAAAAAGCTGTTTCAGAGGGCTGACGGAGATGGTTTCTTGTTGCACTGCCGCCACGCAGAGGGATTTTATTCTATTTGCCTTTCAATCTTCCGATATGGATCTGTGCAAACGTCTGCAGTGGTGGCCACATCGTCTTTCCTGAAGATACCTGATGATCCTACGCTGCAGCTCTCGGCCTGCTCTTCCTAGGCCAACATATGAAACCACACACCACTTACGGGATGAGCGTACGAGGTCTCCGGGGAAAGATAATGGCAGGGGGTAGGCTGCTGCCCTCAAAACAGCCTTCTCGGCTGCGGCCGAGAGCCGCGGGGTGAGGGCAGGGGATCAGTTTTCTTACGAGGTCAGGTGTGGTCTACAGGAGACACATTTATTACCCCTGCTCCAGAGTCACCTTGCAACTTAGCAATATTTTTCAGCAAATTATGATGAGGTTTTCTGAAATTGTTCCAGTGTAGTATTAAAACGGGTCATAAAAACGAAGTTTCTACCCAGTGGAGGAAGTAAAGGTTTACAGAAACATCTGGAAAATAAAGATGACATCTCATCAAGAGCAACTCAATACCTACTGCAATCTTGGAAGGAGACGCTGCTTCTAATAGGAACTCGATTTTAGATGGGCATTCCGGTGTAAGGTTACAAGTATTTTACTGACTGTGAATTTCAATTTTGATAACCTTTTGTCTGGATGGAGGTCAACATAATATATTATCAGTTTGGAAATCCAAAGGAAACGGTGAGAGACCGCACTGCGTAAGACACGCAATTTGCTGGGGAGAAAAATTAATACCAAGTGGATGGTGATTCCACGTTTTAGAAAAAGTATATCGCTGTAGGAATACCTCGAACCAGCAGTACTGCCCTGATAATTGTAATAACTTGTGCTGCTAATTCAAACATGCAGGAAAAAAGGAACCTCTATCATTGATAGAAATCTAAAGAAGCAGTCCCCACTTCTACTGCCAACTCATAAACACTGAACTATCAGTGTTTGCAGAAGAATAAAACCGGAGATTGTTTATCCAGTAAAGATACTATAAAATTGCTACAGCATTGTTCGGAAAGCTTCACAGAAAAATAAAATTCCCCAGGACACTAAACCAACATTAATAAAGTTAATTTTTCCTCCAGAAAAGCAGATACTGCACACGCTTCTAAGAGCTGTATAACAATTTGCTCAGAAACTGAGAGCTCATGTTACACTAACATCTGTTTAAAAGTTTGTAGCCAAATATTTTACAAAATAGTGCTTTAGAAAATGTAACCAGGTAAGTTACAATTAGTTGTTGTCACTTTTTTTTTTGTCACAAATTTTTGTGTTGGCTTTTTTTTGTCTTTTACCCTGAGTGGATCATTCAGCCTCCCTCAAATTAAACCCAGAGGCGATGTTAATAAATGCTCAGTGATGTCAGGAAGGAATATTTACAACTACCAACTAATATCTGAGACGCTTGCAAAACGTGTTCCACCAGCATTTCTGTTTCCCTCCAAATGTTACGCTTCACCCAAGCCACGTTGCGAGCATTTCAAAAGATCACTCTTGAAAACTTCCAAAACCGTATGTTTGGTGCAGTAGTGACTTTCTGTAAACTACGCTCACGCTTTAGAACAGGAGGCTTTCTCCTCGCTGCAGCAAAACCCACAGAACACAAACACAAAATAACTAAAATACAAAGAGTGCTTAGCTGTACGTAAATACACATCACTGTATTTTTAAAATGCGTCTGACCGCCTTACGGAAACAGATGGAACATCATATTTGATTTGAAACACATTCTGTATTAAGAGGTATGGTAGAGACCTCTTAAGACGTAAATGGCTTTAAAATGTAACAACCAATCAAATCAAAGTCAAGCTTACCTTTTTTCATAGAATCACAGAATGGTTTGGGTTGAAGAGACCCTGAAGATCATCCAGTGCCACCCCCCTGCCCTGGGCAGGGACACCTCCCACCAGCCCAGGTTGCTCCAAGCCCCGTCCAACCTGGCCTTGAACACCTCCAGGGATGGGGCAGCCACAGCTTCTCGGGGCAACCTGCCCCAGGGGATCACCACCCGCACAGCCAACAATTTCTTCCTCACATCTCATCTCAATCTCCCCTCTTCCAGTTTGAAGACATTCCCCCTTGTCCCATCACGACATGCCCTTGTAAAAAGTCCCTCCCCAGCTCTCCTGGAGCCCCTTTAGGCACTGGAAGGGGCTCTGAGCTCTCCCCTTTTCGCCTTCTCTTCTCCAGGCTGAACCCCCCCAACTCTCCCAGCCTGTCCTCCCAGCAGAGGGGCTCCAGCTCTCCCAGCCGCTCCGGGGCCTCCTCTGGCCCCGCTCCACCAGGTCCATGTCTCTCCTGTGCTGAGGCCCCCGAGCTGGAGGCAGCACTGCAGGGGGGTCTCCCCAGAGCAGAGCGCAGCAGAGGGGCACAATCCCCCCTCGCCCTGCTGGCCACACTTCTTCTGATGCAGCCCAGGATACAGTTGGCCTTCTGGGCTGCGATCGCACATTGTTGGCTCATGCTGAGCTTCTGGTCACTCAGCACCCCCAGGTCCTTCTCCTCAGGGCTGCTCTCCAGCCATTCCCCGCCCAGCCTGGAGTTGTGCTTGGGATTGCCCCGACCCAGATGGAGGACCTTGCACTTGGCCTTGTAACTACTTTTTCTTGAACTACGCTATTTTCTTTGTATGGATTAATAGATCAGCTATAGCAGTTTTTGGAATACTTACTTCTGACCCCTTCAGAGGAGGTGGCTGGATAACCTGCGTTCTACACCTTGAAGATAACCTTCAGGTTTAAGACACACCTTTTCTTAAAATCAGAACCTGTTCTAACAAAAGCCACTTGCAATTGTCACTGCAAAACCAATTCGATGTAATTGCCACAGCGTGACGTTAGATCTGCAGAGACAGCTTTGCCCCACTGGGTATCACATTTTAAAAGGCTCATTTCCATGCAATTTTAATTTCAGATACCATAGCTCAGATCTTCAACAAGCTGGCGATTTACTTCTGTAACAACATGCACAGGAAGAGACTGAAAAATGCCTATGTATTTTAGAAGTGCCATACTAAAAGATTTCTAATAACCATTTTTTCTAAATAAAAACCAACAAAAGTTTAAGGAATTTATTAAAGCGCAAATACCTTCTTCAACTGCTGTTCCTTGAAGCACCGTACAGTCCTGGCTGGTTCAGAAATTAAGTTTTTATAGTTCTCACAGATATTGAGTCGGGATTGGGCCACTTGCATCGTGCCTTCTAAAAGTGATTTCCAAACCGAGTACATGCTCCTAAAATAATGAAACAGAGAAAGGTTGTGGATAGGAAGGAAGGGAGGCCAGGCGTTACACTGAAAATACGGGTTGGTTTAAATAATAGTAGCATAATTCTTCTGGGATTGCTTTTAAAAAATAAAGCTAAAGCACAATCCTTCATGCTGACCTAGAAAATCTCCGCACTTTTAACACAATTCTAACTGAAGTTGTACCAAAAGTAAAGATTTCCCTTCCTGTCCCTGTTTTGTGATTCAAGATTTTTTTGGCAAACGTTTTCGGTTCAACCTGTCGCTCCAATGCAACAGACCCCACAGACCCCAGTAGCCAAAACCAGATCAGATGCTGCCATTTTATTATTATTTTTTTTAATAAGATGGTGGATTTTGTGATTTTGGGCATCTTGAAATCAAGCAAATAGTTACAGACCACCCATCAATTTTGCCTCAGCTATCGGTAGTTCCTTCATCACGCATACCGGGTGAAAGACAACCACCGTAGCTGTGTAACGAGCTTTGCAGGGCCCCAATAATTCACCAGAAAAGCTCAGAAGTGCCCAAGTCAGAAGGAGAAGGGGGAGACAGGGGAGAAGGCGACAAGATCCATCCTGCGCTGGCAGAAAGGAAAGATTGCCAGAGCTCGCAGAGCCCACGGACTTGGTGGTCGGGAGGGAGGTGGTGGCAGGTATTTGGAGAAGACCTCTGGGCGCCGTGGGTGTATCTGATGGCGCAGAAGGCAGAAGAAAGACTTGCCGAGTGGGGAGCAAACAGCAGAGAGGAGGGGGTCTGTCTGTGTGTTGTGGGAGCACTTTATGTACTCTTAAGACTGCTAATTCAGTTTATTTCTTCTGAGACTCACAAGTGCGAAGGTACTGAAAGTCCAAAACACAAATCTATCAACAACCTCTTCCTGTTTGAAATGAAATTTGTCAGAATACAAAGAACGCATTAAAATAACGTATCTCAAAAGGTTTTCAAAATATTTAGCAGGTATTATTCAAAGGTGGGAGGCCTTCAGCAACTAAGGCATTTCTGGTTTCATGTTATGATCCACCTTTCATGTTAATGAAACTAAGTTTTGTAAACAACTGTTTCTCGCTTTGCCTCCTCCTCGCTGTCAGATGGGATCTTCGTGAAGAATGGCCTCCTAAAAAGAAATGTGTTGCTGTTTTTTCCTACGAAGAAATCCACATGCTTATTACTCCAGCCTTAAAGCTATTTACTAAAATATATATTCAGATACAAGCATTAATACCCAAACACGGTGCACAATTACAGTTGTTGTCCTGTCTTGCCATTTTGTTTTTCCAACCTTCCTAAATTATTCAAGTCATAAATGTCTATTTAAGACTAATCTCAGAATTTCAGGGGAAAACAAAGCTTCATTTTTAACTTACAATGCTCTACAACAAAGAAAAAACCCAGCCTTTGAATACAGAAGAGCAGTGGTTCATTGTTGAGTAAAATAATTACACAAACTGAAATTATAAAGACAGCTATTTCGAGACATCCAACTGTTAAATTACCTATAATCACTTCGTTCATCAGCTTTTATTCCAAGCCAGTCCTTCTTTAAGTATTGGCTAGCCAGCTTCTGAATGCTCTGTTAAAAGAAGGAAAATAAAAAAAATTAAAAAAGTTTAAAATAAGGTGTATTTAAAATAAGATTTTTGCTGCTTTATAAAATAAGCCAACACATAAAGAAGTAATCAAACTACTGCAATGCAAGACTGTTATTTTTACCCTTTTTATATTTTTGTTTGACCTTAGCTTCTGCTGAGAAAAATTCATGAGTTTCACGTTAACATTTTAATTCAGAGGGACTCTGAATCTACTGAGATGTTCACTGAAAATCTTTCTGCGTGTGACTAAGCCCAGCAAAACCAGTAACACAGAAGATGTCTGAGCCGTGTGTGGCAGAATCAGAGGCAGGAATATTGCAAGTAAAACGTCTCCGTTTGTCACAGCTGTAAGAATCAAATTTTTATTTAAGTGAATGAGGACACGGGGTTCTGAGGAGCAATGAAACAGCCGGTCATTTATGTGCCCAAACCAAAATGCCCCGTTTTGATCATCCAATGCTGCCCCGTTACCAGTGAACTGAGGCAACTCGATTGCTCACAGGCTCAGGCGTTTACTCCGAGGATTACAATACACTAGAGATTGGAAAATGCAGTTCATTTTTAATTATTCATGTTAATTCCGCTCTTTCGTCTCCGCATTTCACTTTGCGCGGTCTCGGCAAAAATCAATAACAACATCTTCATAGCCCAGCTCAGAGAGCAGCAAAATTTAATTTGTAAACAACGCGAGGGAGGGGAGTCGCTGTCGCAGCAGTCCCTCCTCCGCCTCGTAATCTCATTTAAGTCTATACCGCTTACGAATTGAGTCCCATCAAATGGAAAAGAAGATGTATATTATCCAACTCACAGAGTTGGCTAAGGGGGTTATGAACACTGAGCAGCGTTCCTGCTTCTTCAAGAGACCCATCACCGGAGAAGCACTCTCCAGCTTTTGTATAAAAGTCTATTTAGGAAAGAAGTGGGAGACCTGAGTTGAAATTCCCTTTGCAGCTAAGAAAAATCAACCCCACAGCTGCTTTCCAGAAGAGTGCATCCTGGGGAACAGCCTGGGGTGAGACACCTTCGCATCCGACCCACTCAACGAGAAGCACGGCGCAGTATCATTCCTTTACGTTTTCCACACTGTATTTCAGATGCTCTCACCTGCTGGGACAGCCCTTGAGTTCTCTTCCAGCAAAATATCAGACGTATCCCAAAAATCACAACCAGGTTTCATTCTTGCCTTACCAGCCCATTCGATGCTAAGATTTATTACCGAGCTCAAGCTCCGATTGACGCTTTCGCATAGAAAAATGTTAATTGTTGCTAATATCTATCATTAGTGGAAAAACTTATGCTTCCTCATATTAAATAGATCTATTTCACCATAGAGTCCAACTCCAACCGCTCTGAACCGACCTGCTGAGCAGGGTACCAGTTTTCGGTGTTAATGATGCTTACAGATGAGTTTATGCTAATAGTCCTAATAGATTTCGATTTTTTAACAGGAAACTCATTAATACGTGTCCCACTGTGCTGTTATTTGCCATTCTGAGCTTCCCCATCTTCCCCAGTTACCTTCCCTGATTTCCATTGTTCTTTTTGCTCAGTTAAGGGTCATTTTCATATTTTAAGGATCATATTGGATATTTCACTCTGGCACATTCACTTATACAATCAGCAATACTTTCCACGAGGAAAGTTATGCCATTAACTCTAAATTCTTGCATTTCCATTGCGATTCCTTCCATTTTAAAAAAACTGCATAAATTGCATCAGGCAGCTGTTAAAAAAATCCAGATAAAAGGAAAAATAACACTTCCTTTAACTCTGTCAGAGCAATTTGTGATGAGATTTGGAGCTTCATTAGGAATCCCCACCTGGTGCTATTTTTCAGGTTTCCATCCCCTCTGCATCAGACTCCACCACCGAGATCTGCCCCCAAGACATTGAACAAACATTCACAAACACAAAACTAATCACGAAAAAAGCTCACTGGCAGTTGAGGACGAGCTATGCCAAAATTAAAGACGCAAAAAACTCACAACAGGGATAACAAAAGCCATTTTTGCACACAGAAACCCTCTTACGGATGTCAGCAAATCAACTATAAAACTAGCGTGATTTATTTCCAAACGGAACCAGCTCGCCACCGAAATCAATGAAACATTGGAGAGAGGGCTCCAGCTGCATAGTGAAGATGTCTGATAATTTACTAATTAAATACATTTAGCATTCATTCATGAAAATGGATAAACCACTCATTGGCATTTCATACAAAAACTGCCGTAGGCGAACGTATGGTTTTTAATTAGACCCGTACAGTAGGTTTGCTTTCTTAAACTTGATGCCGAATGTAACCTTTTGGTATGAGATCTTCCTTGTTCTGTTCTCAATAACACTTCTTGTTTTGCTGGACCGAAACAAAGAACACCACTGTTGGGTTCAAGCGGGGAAATCAACTGATTGTTTAACCTTTGGCATCGCCTGATTTCGCCCGCAGCTTTGGAACGTGCTTATTTATTCCCTGAAGGTTCACATCGATCACGTTTAACCGGCTTGAGAATGATATTTCAACACAAGAATCAATTTGTAGAGAGGTAAGAACAGAAGTCCGTGCAGAATGCTCTCCTGGTTTCGGTATTGCTTGATGACACATTTCCTTAATGCTTCTTTACAAGTAACTTTAGAGAATGAGACAGAGCTCCACTGCGTTAAGGTGCTATTAAAAATCACAACGTAGATTTTGGAGCCCCCAACATGGAAAAGACATGGACCTACTGGAGCAGGGACAGAGCAGGACACAAAGATGCCCCGAGGCTGGAGCACCTCTCCTATGAGGAGAGGCTGAGAGAGTTGGGGGGGTTCAGCCTGGAGAAGAGAAGGCTCCGGGGAGATCTTATTGTGGCCTTCCAGTCCCTAAAGTGGCTCCAGGAGAGCTGAGGAAGGACTTTTTACTGGGGCATGGAGTGACAGGACGAGAGGGAATGGCTTCAAACTGGAAGAGGGGAGATTGAGATGAGATATTAGGAAGAAATTGTTGGCTGTGTGGGTGGTGAGCCCCTGGGGCAGGTTGCCCCGAGAAGCTGTGGCTGCCCCATCCCTGGAGGTGTTCAAGGCCAGGTTGGACGGGGCTTGGAGCAACCTGGGCTGGTGGGAGGTGTCCCTGCCCAGGGCAGGGGGGTGGGACTGAATGATCTTCAAGGTCCCTTCCAACCTAAACCATTCTGTGATTCCATGAAATCCCCATCCGAAGTTGAGCGAAATCCATAAAACCTCTCAGTTGCACTGGGCTACAGACAGTCAGAGAATCACGACTTAAAATCCTGTTGCGGAGAAGCGCTATTGTGAGGTCGGTGAGTCTCATCCCCAGCCGCCGCGGGGTTCGTGATCCCCGTGTCCCGCTGTGCCGCACACCCCCACGCACCATGCAAAGGCACGGGCCTGCCATCGAAACCTTTGATCTCTGAAGAAACACTTCAGCAATTTTTGGTATAAATATGAAAAACTGTAGTTCACCAAAACTGCAGTAATAGTCTGATGGCTGTGAAAGAAGGGTTGGTTGTTGTTTTTTTTAATTATACTTAAATTTTCCACTTCGTTCTAAGGTGTGTATCAGTGAATTTGAAAAAAAAAGTCGTTAATTATTTTTCAATGGTAATTACAATCGACTTAGTTCAAAGTACACTATTTTTCATCAATAATTATTGACACAAAAGGTCAAAAAAGCCTGAAATCCCCTGCAAGCACTGTGCAACCTCTGTTCATCCTTTGTCGAAAGAAACGTACTGGGTGACTCCGCGCGTGTGACTAACACATTGAGCAGGATTTAAAACGAGCAAATATAAAATAGTGTAAACAGACCAGCTGCCACATAAACCTGATTTTAACTCACCTGAAGACGACGCAGACCCTTCCTCCGTGTCTCGGTTTTCCCTTCCTCCCCCCCATCAAAACGCACGTTGGACCGTTATGCTACAAACACGGTACTATTACACATTCATGGCTTCTTCAACTGGTCGCAAATCTGCCTAACAGATGGATGGATGGGACATAAAATTGTGTCAATCCATCATCCGAGCAATCAACACCTAGAAATGAAATTCTGCTGAACAGAAAGACCATGAAAAAATAAAAAAAAGGCATCACAGTTTCATCTACGCTCAAATTCATTTTTCCCAGCGCTGCGGCTCCTATTTGACATTCCCTATTCCCAGACCTTACCTCAAGTTTATTACTGGTGTTTTCTAATAAGGCCAGTTGTGACAGATATTGGGGGAGGAGAAAAAAAAAAATAAGTATTTGCTATAATACCAACAGAAAGTAAGTAATTACTGATGGAAAAAGAAAGAGAAAGATGTCCCAAATTAAAAGATCACTAATAGAAAAGTATGCAGCTTTTAAAAAGACATATTAATGATGCTTTTCAACGCAGTTCTAAGATCTTTATCTGCAATAACTGAGAGGTGCTGATGACAGCCAGGTGCCCTAAAACTTACTATCGGTTGCAGAAAGCGTGGCAGATGTTAGCTGATGTAACACTGAGTTTTAGAAAATATCTATCACCGGCACAAATTTATGGCTCTTTGTCATTTAGGTGGTTTCAGTATCTTGCATCATTTTGATCACTTCTCTTTATCAGAGCAGAATCCATCAACCGACCCCTTAGAACTTTCATTTCTACAAATAAATCTCCACTCTGCTATTATTGTTTCAGAAAAAAAAAAGAACCTTGAATTGAGAAGGAGGGAGAAATACTGTCCTCTGAGTAACATCTAATATTCAGCGATCCAAGGAACTCCAAGACAGGCTGCAAACAGCCCAAATAATCCCTGCAAGCGGAGGAAAAGGCAACGGGTGGCAGAACCAGCCCAGGAGGAAGGTAAGGCCTTAGGCTGGCGGACGAGAAGGGTGTATACGGACAGCAGCTGCTTCAACAAGTCTCTGATTGCAAAGCTCCCTCCGGCCACGCCATCTGCAGCGCTGCAACAGCCAGCCAGGGAGAAGACGCGAAGGGGAATTAAAGCAGGAGAAAAGGGGA